CCGGCAGTCGCACTTACGACCACTCGGCCAACGAGGCAGTCTGGTATTTAGTTATTGGCAGACATTTTTATAATTGACCTATCTGATTATTGTAGTTTCCCTTAGGCCTTGTGTTCTTCTAGACTCTATCACGTCCAGTTCCCTCTTAATTCCACTTGTTCCTTGCGTTTTTGTCACCCACATCTACCACATTCAGCTCCCAAACGGAAAACAAGATTCCGGAAACTTTGATCCTTTTTAGCGTTTCTTAGATTACAATAAGCTATAATTATAAGCCGATAAAACTTTGCCAAAGTATAAATATAAACAGATAAGATAAACTAGAGACCGATCGCCTGAATGAGTTCTTTCTTATGAAGTCAACAATGATTTTACAAATTCAAACAGCTCATGATGACTTGTATAATCCAGTCTAGATGACGCAGTTCAAATTGGAGAACCTACGTCTCAATTTACAACCTTAACTTATATGCAATAAACATTAAAATCCTTTATTGAAATACATGGTTGAAAATACATGTTTTTGAAGACACATGATGAGAAGCATAAATATAAGATAAAAATTCATGAATTAAAATCTTTTTGTATCTATTACGTGACTTAGATTGGTGATATAGTTTCTGATATCTGTTATCACCCTTTTTTCCTATCACAGGGTGGTCTTAATCAATTGATCAATTACTAACGACCCATGGTGTATTTTTGAGACAAGTGCACTATTGGTAAATCATCGGATTACTTCTTCCGCCTGGGTGAGACGGGAAGGAGTGTCAGACTCTTACTGACTAAAAACCACCTCGTTCCTACTCCTGCATTTCGAGCCGGAGCCCCGGTAGCCTGTTAAGTTCTCCGTGACGCACTGTGAAGGCAATGACCAAAGATAACACAATGAATTGTTTGACTAATTAATGAAAGAGAATAGTTGAGATCTTCGAAATAAAATGAAGAAAAATAAGCATAGGTAATGAGTTCTGCTTTATCGGATGAATGTTGAAAGAGATAATAAAAATCCTACTAATATTATAAATGCGAAAGTTTATATGTCTGTTTGTTACTCCTTCGCGTCGAAATGGCTCGAGGGATTTTTTTAAGGGGGGATAATCATTGAATGGCTGCTTCCGCCTGGGTGAGGCGGGAGGGTGTATCAGACTCTTACTGACTAAAAACCACCCCGTTCCTTCTCCTGCACGTCGAGCCGGAGCCCCGGTAACCCGTTAGGTTCTCTGCGACACGGCTCAAGGGATAATGATGTAATATGGAACATGGAGTAGATTATGGTCTGGTAACTAATTAACTAACACATATGCTACTTTATATTTTACGGGAACGTAAGTGAAGCCGCTGGCAGAAGCTAGTCTTTTATAATGCAATCGTAGTTTCGACCATTTTGTCGTTAAATAGGTAGTTTTAATATTACATCAATATAGTCGATGTGTTTATACAAAAAAGAAACGCTGCCATAGAATTCAGTAAATATTTGATAGACTGCTCCACTTCCCCAAATGGATTGATTTTTGAAGTGCTAGTGTGTTTTGCCACTATTTTTCAAATAACTCTAAAGCTATCTTTAGCTTTAGGTCATTGTTACCTATGAATGGATGCCATGGATTTGATGGATTACATACTTACGTTTGAATTTCTAAAGACCTTCGTTTCTGGGGAAGCAGAATAAAATATTCTTATTTATTTCAAATACATACCTATATCAAATCACAATAAGTCACAAATCGTATTAAGAGTATGTATGTACACATACGTACTATGTATGTACACATGGCCACACATCAATCTATACAAAACCAGTTTATCCTGGTGTCGCGTCGCATCATCTTCCCGCACATTTAACGTTCAGTTTGTACTGGTTATGTAAAGCTTGATGTGTAGTCGTGTGAACATTTAAATAAATAAATAAAAGTGACCTGCATTCACCGTCTTCATTCGATCGTTATTAGGTCCCCTGTCCTCTTTGCTAATAAAGAGTTAATAGAGTGACTGGTTGTTTGACGTACATGTTCTACAAATATTATAAATGTGAAAGTTTTTTTTTGTTTTTGTTTGTTTGTTTTTCTCTTTCGCGTAAAACGACTAAAGGGATCGTGATGAAATTTGGAACATGGGGTAGATTATGGTATGCAATAACACATAGGCTATTTTTTATACCACCCGAACGCGGGAAAAGCCGCTGGCAGCTAAGCTAGTATAATACACACATTTCTAATTAGTTAAACAAGAGTTAAGTAAATTTTAATAAATAACGAAAATCTATCAATGTCAAAATCGTTTATTTCAATCAGACCAGGATGGCACTTATGAACATCAACAACAAAAATGTTGAAGTGAATCAAGTTGCTCATTCCAAGTTGTAGATTCCTATGGAGGAGAATGAGCAAGAATACTCCATAGGTTACTCTTTTTCAATCGGGTTTACAATACAATTCTCTAGTTACATAGTTTTGTTTGTTTGATTGGGTGAGAACAATGCACCACCTAAATGCAGCCAAAGAGATTGAAGAAGAAAATAACCTTGAGGACAATGAAATCATACAGTCTGGAGCTGACTAGTGCCAATTGACGGCTCCCGTTCACGAACATGACACGTACCCCAGCACCGCCCAACTCAACCATTTTGTAGGGAATCAAGCGATCCAATACAGGTGCACCGCCAATGAGATCTTTGACTAAATTATATTTAATAACTCCTTTAGAAAGGAATTCCATTGTTCCTGTAAATGCAGTTGGCAGGGTGTGTCTACTTAGTTCAAATTATAAGGGCGAAACTGCTGTGGTCACCGTTACATATCAAATAATTCATACAGATAACATATTGGTGTAGATTGCGTATCAATATTGTATATAAACCAGTTCAAAAATATAAATTTTATGTACAATATCTTGATAACAGACAAAACAAGACGTGTTTGCCTTTCATTCAAGTGAATTTGACGTAAATAAACAAAAGAACTTTTGTATAGCGAAGGTCTTAAAATTATAAATATAGTTCTACATAACTAAATAGCGGTAAGTTTCATAACATTATAATCTAAATATATAGTTTATAACAAAACTTTACTTGCTCAAGCCAAACTGTTCATTTTTATGAACGAATTCTTTTGACTTTTGTTTTTTCATGTATTATTAAACGAAGAATAATTCAATTAATATAATAAAATACATTAAATACATTGCTAAAAACGTCGTGGTAGCCCGGAGGTTGTTATCTAAACCTTTTATCTGTTTACTTATTGCTAACAGTAACTGTGAACAAAAAATTTTACATAACAGACAAAAGCGATGACTGTATATTATATCGTACAGCATTTGTTTTTAAGGTATAAATTGCTCTAAACATGGTTAAAATTGTTAAGGCTCCTAGATATTGAATTTTATAAGTCAGGATTCTATCCCCAATAGTTAGCGATAGATAAATGTTACTCGTCTTAAGTTGCAGTAACTTAACAACTATATGTTAATGCATAATGAATCCTACTATCAAGGTCATTTGGTCTTATTTACAATGAAAACAAATATGTTTTATCAGTTTGTCTAGAATATGGAGAGAATACAGACGTTTTGGTTGGCGCTCAGCGTACTCTTGGTGTGTGCTGAAGCTTCCAAGGTCCTGGTGGTGTTTCCCCTACCATCGAGGAGTCATGCAAACCTCGGAGATGGTATTGTCAGGCATCTGCTGAATGCTGGACATGAGGTTAGTAAAATGTATCTTTAATTCGCTAATCGACTTCAAAGGAGATTCTTAGTTTGTATGTATGTTGTGCGCGATTCTCGCGATTGACTGAATCGATTATGATGCGGTTTGCAGATTAGTGTTTGTTACATTTAGGAGAAGACTTTAGTATATTAATTAACCAACTTCAATAAAGAGGGGGTTTGAAATCGGTTCTTTTCTTTTATCAGCGATAATCTATTTCTTTATTATAGTTTACTTATACGTATTATGTATTATAGTTAATTACAGTTTAGTATAGTAATGACAACTAGTATTGTTATCCTTGAGACTTGAGGTTCGATTTCAGAGAACGATTATTTCGAATAATAAAATATTACGACAGTGTTTTATAAGTACCTTAATTTTGGAGTCGAATAAACTTTATTTGGCTTGACTTGTCGTGAAAATATCATGAAGGTACTTCTTCAAAGTAATAAAACTATGTCTGGTGTTAAAACATACAGAAACACATAAAAACAGACGGAATTAAAATGTATGATTTTCTTATTTCAGGTGACATACATCACGCCATTTGTGTACAAGAACGCTCCTTCAACCCTTCGCACTATTGACGTCAGCAGTAACTTCGATGTATGGCCAGGTAATTTTATTCTTCTACTTGTTTATCTCTTATAATTAATTGTACAAATTTCTTTCAAAGATTCTCCGACCTTTCCGGCTTTGTTCATATTTAATTAACTAAAATCGCTTGTTACTCACGTGAATATATGAGCTACGCGACGTCACCGCGACCGCGCACGCTGCTCATGAAGAAGAAACCCTCTGTGGTTCGAAACTAGTAGAGCTTTTCTCAGTATATTCACGATTTTAGTTAATTTAATATGTCTCACGATAGTTATTATAAAATCATTGTTCATATTTTGTGATTTTATGCTCATCTATTAGTAATTTTTAAGCCACTGGTACAAACGCAAGCAGAACAACCGACACCTCACTGTGAAATTCGTTTATACGATGTTCAACATTTTTATTTGACTAAAAAATTGAGGTCTTCAATACTATATAGATATCTCTACATCATGAGTTATACAAAACATTATTTTTACTATCAAACGATTGAAAATTTTTACTTTCATTCAAACTACTTCGCATTTTCTTTTTATCTTTAATCCAATAATCACTTTATAGCACTTCTTCTTTATCTAGTTTCTTTTGCAAATCTTGTCGTGGCATTATTACATGTACAATTTTAATTATTCCAGCTCACCTCATCACCATCAAGTCTATCATTGAAGATCCAGATGCCTTCGCCAATATGAATATGATGGCGTTCCTGGTGACGACAATTATGAACCATACTTATGAGAACGAAGCGGTTGCAGCGCTGCTGAACGATTCAAAGGAACACTTCGATGCTGTTATTGTAGAATGGATATTTAACGAGGCTATTGGGGGGTAAGTTGAATTAAATTCTTAATTTTTTTGGAACGCCCTTGTACGCCCGGTTACATCCATGAGCTAGTTGGTGTTTTTATCATTGTCAATGATTAACAACCAATGAGAGTCCACTGCCACACTATGTCCACTACCTCTCCTTATAAAGAAGCGTTTACCATAAGTCTTCTAAAAAAGTGGTCTCTGTCATCGCACCGATCTCCATTCGACAGGGAATTCAAGCTCACACATTGGAACCCAAAAGGTCTCGTGCAGTTCGGTTTTAGAGGAATTTCCTCACACGCACTCTTCGATTGTGGTTCGTTCGATCTGGCGAGGTTTTCCCAATGGGCCTTAACATGGGGTTCTTCAAGACGGGAGTGAATAGGTTTTTTAAGGGTAGGGCATGTAATGCCCCAAGTGTTGCAAGCGAACATAGGCCACGGAAACAGTTTGGTCGTGTGGCCCGTGTAAATAGGAATGCGGTCTACCGTCGTGGTATAAAAAAAATGTCGTAATTGCCACAGTCTCCACGCTTGGCAGGCGGATTTTAGTTCTAAGTTTAAAAGGATAAGGGTTATCAGAAATTGCTATTGCTAAATCTCTGTTAGATAAATATGTAGTTCTTTATGGTGCTAGCGAGAAGAGTACAGCGATGACAATTGTATTTTACTCAGTCGTCACGACCAGCACATTTTTTTCATTAGAACACTTATGTGTCACGCCACATCACGCCTTTTATCCCCGAACGGGTAGGCCCGGGTACTCACTATGGCACTTAATGCCACCGTACAATGAAAAACCTACTTTCCGGGCACAATTCCAAACCCAGTAATACTTTTCCCGACCCGGAAATCGAACCCGAGACCCCTTGCCCGGCACTTTCGGCCACTGAGCCAACGAGGCAGACACAGTTATTTTGTTTATCAGATAGGACAAACTAACTGTGAGGTGACATAAAAAACCGATAAAATCTCAGAATACCTTTAATGCTGTTCTATAACCATTACCTTTTTTCATAATTTCAGTATTGCAACGATTTTCGACTGCCCTCTGATTTGGATGTCCTCAGTGGAAGTACATTGGAAGCTTCTAAGTTTGATCGATCAGCCTTCGAACCCTGCATATTCAGTAGACATGACGTCGTCCAATCAACCACCATTGAGTTTTACAGAGAGAGTCAGCGAACTGTGGACTCAAATACAAATTTCTGTCCTGTCTTACTTGTAAGTATTAGTATTCATTTTAACTTTACAACACGCCCAGAGGCCCAATAACCCCCCTCCCTAGTTTCATCTCCGAATCCTCCAAAATCCTTAAATTCCCAATTCCCAAAAGGCCGGTAACGCACTTGTAACACCTTTTGTGTTTCGGGTGTCCATGGGCGGCGCCGATTGCTTACCATCAGGTGATCCGTCTGCTCGTTTAACGGCTTATGCTTTTAAAAATAACGCCAAAGCAATAGTTCAAAGTGCTTCAATGTTAGAATTGAATTTCAAGTGCATATTACATCCACAAAAAGAACTGTTCTATGCCGGAACCAAACGGTCGCTCATCTAATGTACTAACCGTACAGTATTGTTGCACTTAAGCAATTAATATAACTAGTATGTAATATACTTTTTATCAGTAACTAGCTTCTGCCCGCGACTTCGTACGAGCAATCCCGTTTTCTCCCGATCCCGTAGGATTTTCAGAATTATTTCTGTCTTAAGAACCTTCTCCTAGTAATAACAAATACAACAAAAAAACAACCTCTTGTCTATTGAAAGTTGCGGGTATAATGTGTTTTGTACCGGGAACCGGTGTTTCAACAGATAAATGGTTAGTGAAATCGGTCCAGTCAAAAAAATAATCAGGGAAATCAGTCCAAATATAACAAAAAAATATTAGTGATATCGGGCCGGTCTGTCTGCGTGATGCCGTGACCAAGGGAAAAAGGGATTCATTTTTATATATATAGATGTTAGAAGACCATTTAAAAAAATTGAACGCGGGTTCAGAATAAATTCTAGTTACTTTCAATACAAATTAACGGAATGTTTTCATCTCTTTCAGTATCTTTGACAAAATGCAAGACGACACGTACCAAAAGTACGTGGTTCCAGCGATTACAAAGCGCGGAAGAGATGCCCCATCCTTCTATGAAATGAAGTATAATGCTTCCTTAATTCTGGCTAATGCATACGTATCCACAGCAATCCCTCAGACGATGCCTCAAAGTCATAAATACATTGGAGGATATCACGTCGATGAAGTCGTGAAACCTTTGCCTGAGGTAATAAAGCAACTTAGTATAGTATATATATCATGTAATTTTTTTATAGTGCTAAAATTTCCATTTTTCGTCACTTAAATTTCCGAAGAGGACAATGCTAAATTATTTGGTGGGCTCTAAGCTATACGACTGTACGGTTGGAGCGGTGGCTAGGCAACTGGCAGCCACGCAACGTTTAGCGGGTTTGATTCCCTCACGGAGCAACTGCTTGTGTGATCCATAAATTGTTGTTCCAGGTCTGGGTGTCATGTGTTAGTGAAATTGTATGTTTATAATCGCACCTACGACACAGGAGAAAATCCTAGCGTGGGGCAACGTTTTAAAAAAAAATATACCTACATATGTTGATACTCCGAGAAAACGATATTATAAAATTATCTCGTATACAGTCTTAAATATATCTACTGCACAAATAATACTCTAAAGCCGTGTAATATTTTACAGGATTTAAAGAAACTGATAGAAAGCTCAAAGGATGGTGTCATTTACTTCAGCCTGGGTTCCAACTTGAAGAGCAAAGATTTGCCAGAAGAAATCCGAGTGAGCCTATTGAAGATGTTTGGAACGTTAAAGCAAACGGTCCTGTGGAAGTTTGAGGCCAACATGACGGACTTACCTCCAAATGTCCACATTCTGGAATGGGCACCGCAGCAAGCCATTCTATGTGGGGTGCGGTGCCAGAAGACCTCCCCGTGGTGCACCCTGGGTGCGGGCGACAGTCTCCCTAGCGGGGGTGATAGGGTTGGAGTGACTGTCGCCCGCAGCAGACTTCTGGACTGGGCGGGCGAACCCGATAGGGTTCTGGAGGCGGCGGGCTGTGTGCGGAGGCTCATAGCCCGCGCTTCCGAGGGGCGTTTCTCCGCCCGTCTCTCTGGATATAGCAGAGAGCGTGGCGGAGAGGCAAAGGCGGTGCTCGTTGTGCACTCACCCTGCCAGCGAGCAGCATCGGGACACAAGCTGTCCCCGATTGCAGCCGTCGATATCGTAATCCGTAAGGAGATCACGGTCATGTTTTGTGACTCTGAACGGGACGAGGGTCTTGGCTTGGTCGCCCGGACCGCGAGGAAGATAACCTCTATAAAAAATTCCTCCAATACTAAGTTCTGGTGCGCGGCGAGAGTATGCATGGCTGAGGAGTAGTGTCAGTCGCGAGCGCACCCCCAGCTAGGGGACCAGTGGAACCTCTAGTTGGGAAACAAATTAACACTTACCCAGGTACAGGGGGCACTGCCTGGGTGGACCGAATATTTCCCCCATACTCGTGGGAACTTTATGGAGTTGAACAACAAATAAAAAAACCACACAACCGGAGGAGGAGAGTGCGGGTGAGCTTGGCTCGCCTGCAGTAGCAGGAGAAGGGAGCCCAAGTGGCTCCGGGACTCGTGGTGAGGCGCTGGACTCGTCCAGCAGGCCCCACACACGGGAGTCTAGTCGAAGGGGGTCGGACTCAGAGTCCGACACAACATTGGCGGAGCGGCTGAGCGTGAGCTCGAAAGGCTCACGCCGCCGCGCGACGGGGACGTTCAAACGCCCCAGGCTGGAGGAGGACAGTTTGTCCCCGTCCTCCGGCGCTCAGGAGGCGCCTCCCCCCAAGGTCCCCACGGCAGCGCGGGGTAGGGGCGGCAAGGGCAGCGGTCGCCGGAAACCGGCACCAGCTGCCTGCGCGGAGTCAGCCGAGCAGCTGGCCGCGGAGGCAGGGCTCTCTCAAGTGCTGCCCGTCGGAGTCCTCTGCGGCCGAGATGTCCGGCGTGGAGATGTCGGAGGGCGAGCGCGGCTCTGAGAGCGAGAGCTGCTCCGGGGGCCTCCAACAGGCCATTACGGCGGAGCTCTACAAGCTGGCGATGGGGAAATCCCAGCCGGTTAGGCTCCGCCTCCTCAGGGCGGCGGCGGCCACATAACGGAGGCGGCCTTGGAGCAGTGTGCGGTGCCCACTGCGGGAAAGGTGCGCTCCGAGCTGGCCGAGATGCGGCGAGAGCTGGCGCGCTTGGCAGCCTCCAATGCGGCTCTGGAGGCCGAGCTGCGGACGGCCAGGGCCGAGCTCGCCGCTGCTCGCGGCAGTCGCCCCCAGCCCCCGGCGGAGGCCGACGTAGTCGGACTGCTGCGGGCGGAGTTGGCTGCCTTCCAGCGACGTTTCGACGTGCTGGAGGGCAGGCTCTTGCGCCCCCCACTCGCGGCGAGTCAGGTCGCCCCCGCGGTCCCGCGGTCGTACGCGGCCGCTGCGGCCAAGCCTTCGACCTCGGGTCAGGCTAGCCGCAGCTCCCAACCGCCGGCAAGGGCGCGACCGGCTGCCCCAGCGAGGGCCTCGGCGCCCCCGCCGGCGCAGACCCCAGCTGCGCCGACGGCGCCAGCGCCCGCAGGGCGCAAGGAGAGGAGAGGCGCTCCAGCCCGGCAGGCTGGAGTTGCGGCAGCGGTGGTGGAACCCGCCCCGCGAGCGGAGGACGGCGGCGGGTGGCAAATCGCCGGCGAGGCGAGGAGAGTCGCCAGGGAGGGCCGGAAGCGCCGCAAGAAGGCGCAGCGGCAGCGACGGCAGCAGCAGCGCAGGGAGAAACGCGCTGCTGCCTTGCTCCTCGCCCCTAAGACCGCGGCTGTAGTGATTACGCTGCAGCCCGAGGCGGTCAATAGGGGCGTCACTTACGGCGACGTCCTCGCCAAATTGAAGGGGGCGGTATCTCCTGCGGAGTTCGGGGCGCCAGACGGGTTCGCGGTCAAGGTGACCGCTACCGGAGCCCGTCTTTTGGAGGTCCCCGGCGCGACCAGCGGCCCATCGGCCGACGCCCTGGCCGAGAGGCTTAGGGCGTGCCTCGGTGCGGACGAGGCCCGCGTGTCCAGGCCAACCAAATGCCTGGATGTCAGGATCTTGGGCCTGGACGACTCCGTAACGGAGAGTGAGGTGGTGGCCGCTGTGGCCAGGACGGGAGGGTGCCCTGCTGACCAAGTTAAGGCAGGCGCCATCCGCCCGGACAACTCGGGGCTGCGCACTGTTGTGGTCAGCTGCCCCGTCACAGCGGCCAAGAAGCTGAAGGAGGGCAAAAGGCTCTTGGTGGGATGGGTCTCGGCGCAGGTCAAGCTGCTCGAGACCCGGCCTCTGAGGTGCTACCGCTGTCACGTGGGGGAGCACGTGAGTGTCAAATGCACCTCGGAGGTGGACCGCAGCGACTGTTGCTTCCGCTGCGGTCGGCCCGGTCACAAGGCCGGCTCGTGCAACGCCCCGCTGCACTGCAATGCATGTGCGGCGGCTGGCAAGCCGGCCAATCACCGGGTCGGGAGCAAAGGCTGCTCCCCTCCCGCCAAACCCAAGGGCAAAGGCAGGCCCTCCGCCGCCCCTGCCGTTTCCGCCGCCGCCGCCGCCACTGCCACCGCAGTCGCCGCTGCCGCCACTGAGGAGATCGGAATGGACTGCCAATAATGGCCCCATTCCGCCTCCTCCAGGCGAACATCAACCGCTGCGCCGCTGCTCAGGATCTCCTGCTCCAGAGCATGGCGCAGTGGTCGATCAATGTCGCCGTGGTCTCCGAGCCGTACTTTGTCCTGCCCAGGGATCACTGGGTGGCGGACCTGGACGGCTCGGTGACCATCATCTCGTCGGCCGCCGCCGGTACCCCGACTCTTGAGGCTGCTCAAAGAGGCCGGGGTTGTGTCGCAGCACGGTTCGGAGAGCTCGCTGTGGTGGGCGTGTACTTCTCTCCGAACCGAACTCTCGCCGAGTTCCACAACTCCTTGAGGGAGTTGGTCACTGTCGTCGTCGGGTTCCGTTCCCTCCCCGTGCTCGTCCTCGGGGACTTCAACGCCAAAAACTTGGCTTGGGGTTCCCGGTTCACCGACGTCCGGGGTAGGATGGTGGAAGACTGGGCCCTTGAGACAGGCCTAGTCGTCCTGAACCGGGGTTCTGTCCCCACGTGTGTGCGGATGCAGGGCGAGTCGGTGGTGGACATTCGTTCGCCAGCCCTGCTCTGTCACCGCGTATTGTTGGCTGGCGCGTCATGGAGGAGGTGGAGACGTACTCCGACCACCGGTATATCCGGTTCGACGTCTCCGCCGAGTCCGCAGACCCGCCGGTCAGACAGGCCCCATGTGGCCCGCGTTGGGCGCTGAAACAGCTGGACCGGGAGCTGCTCCTGGAAGCCGCCATCGTGCAGGCCTGGGTGATACCACCGGTCAGGCCTGCCGACGTTGACGATGAGGCCAAGTGGCTCCAGGACGCCATGTCCAGGATCTGTGACGTGGCGATGCCCCGGATCCGGTCGAGGCAACAGAAGCGCCAGGTGTACTGGTGGTCGCAAGAGCTGGCGGCTCTGCGCAAGGCGTGCACTACTGCGCGACGCCAGTACACTAGGCACCGCAGGCGCCGTATCCGTCCTCCTAATGCGGAGGCGAGAGAGGCGGAGTTATACGAGGGATACAGGGCGGCGAAGGCCCTCCTCAAGGCGGAGATATTGCGGGCCAAGGAGGAGGCCCGCCGAGAGATGCTGGGGACTCTGAATAGAGACCCGTGGGGACGCCCGTACCTGATGGTACGCGACAAGCTCCGTGCTTGGGCTCCCCCGCTCACTCAGAGTCTCCGGCCAGAAGTCTTGGAGGAGGTGATTGGCGCCCTGTTCCCCCGACTGTGGAGGGGCTTCACCCCTCCGTATATGACTCCGCCCCCTGCGGTGCCCGACGCGGGCTACAGCGACGACGACGATGACATCGTCCCAGAGGTGACCGAGGCAGAATTGAGAGCGGCGGTGCGCCGGATGGGCGCCAAGAACACCGCCCCAGGACCCGACGGCCTGCATGGCAAGGCATGGGTCCTGGCCTCAGAGGCTCTCGGGCCTCGATTGATTGGTCTCTACAGCGCATGTCTGGAGAGAGGCCAGTTCCCGCTTCTCTGGAAAGCGGGCAAACTGGTCCTCGTGCGGAAGACGGGGCGCCCTGCGGACTCTCCGTCCGCGTACCGGCCCATAGTGCTGCTCGACGAGGTGGGGAAAGTCTTCGAAAGAATCATTTCGAACCGCCTCGTCGCGCACCTGACGGACATTGGGCCGGACTTGTCGGACGGCCAGTTCGGCTTCCGCAGAGGGCGCTCCACGGTGGACGCCATCATGCGCGTTAGAGACCTCACGACGGGGACTGCAGTGTCCAGGGGTAAGGTCGTAGTGGCGGTGTCTCTGGACATCGCCAACGCCTTCAACTCCCTGCCCTGGAGCTGCATCTTGGAGGCACTCCGATATCATCGGGTGCCTACCTACCTCCGTCGTGTAATCGAGGCTTACCTGACGGACAGGTCCGTCAGCTACCCCGGTCACCGGGGCGAGTGGAACCGGCGAGAGATGTCACGCGGTGTTCCACAGGGTTCGGTTCTGGGGCCGCTCCTGTGGAACATCGGCTATGACTGGGTGCTGCGCACCGACCTCCCGAACGGCGTTAGCACAATATGCTACGCCGACGACACGCTGGTGCTAGCGCACGGGAGGTCGCACCAGGCGGCGGCCGACTTAATGGCGACAGCGGTTGCGACAGTCGTTGAAAGAATCCGGCAGTTGGGACTCGAGGTGGCGCTCCACAAGTCCGAGGCCATGTGTTTTCATGGCCGCGGGAACGCGCCACCTCCGGGTGGGTCCCAAATAACGGCGGGAGGGGTTACCATCGGCGTCGAGACGGCGATGAAGTACCTAGGACTCGTCCTCGACAGTCGGTGGAACTTCATAGAGCATTTCCGACGTTTGGCTCCAAAGTTGGAGAGGACGGGGGCTGCGTTCAAACGCATCCTCCCCAACCTCGGGGGGCCAAACGCCTCCTGCCGGAGGTTATACGCCGGGGTCGTGCGGTCCATGGCCCTCTACGGCGCCCCTGTTTGGGCGCCGAACTTGTTGCGGCGTCCTGCTCGGACGCTGCTCAAGTCACAGAGGGTCATGGCGATCCGAATGATCCGCGGATACCGCACGATCGCTGGGGAGTCGGCGAACCTCCTTGCCGGATTACCGCCGTGGGATCTGGAGGCGAAGGTGCTCGCGCGCGTGTATAACATGCGCGCGGAGGCACGTCGCCGGGGCGAAACTCCGCTGCCGCGCCAGATAAGTGCGTGGCGGGATGAGCTCCGGCGCGATCTCATGGCGGAATGGCAGCAACGACTGTCGCAACCGAGGGCTGGGCTCGCTGCCATTGCAGCGGTAAGTCCCCTCTTTGAGGAGTGGCTTGAGAGACGCTACGGCGTCCTCACCTACCGCCTGACGCAGGTCCTCACCGGACATGGAAGTTTCGGGAGGTACCTGTGTCTGATGGGGCGGGAGGAAACGCCCGGGTGTCATCACTGCGAGGACCGCCCTGAGGACACGGTGGAACACACCGTAGCGGAATGCCCTGCGTGGGCTGAGCACCGCCGTGCCCTCAGGGAAGTGATCGGCGATGGCGACCTCTCGCGTCCGGGCCTAGTGCAGGCCATGATGCGGAGCGAGGGGGACTGGGATGCCGTCTCCTCCTTTTGCGAAGCAGTCATGCTAGCTAAGGAGGAGGCGGGACGCGTGAGGCAGCGAAGCGCTGCCTCCTCGCGACCCAGCCATCGCGAAGGACACACCGGGCGTCGGGGATCGCGGGACGATCTCCGGCCACCGTAAGCGCGGGCCTGCGGACGGCGAGCATGGGTGGCTCCCCGTCCGACCAGAAACAGACCCGAGCGTACGGCGCGTCGCGTTCCGCGCGCGCCTCAAAGAGCCATCAGACCACCACAGATGGGGCCCAATAGGGCCGATGCCGATTCGGAGTCGCGGAGAACCTAACGGGTAACCGGGGCTCCGGCTCGACGTGCAGGAGAAGGAACGGGGTGGTTTTTAGTCAGTAAGAGTCTGACACTCCCTTCCGCCTCACCCAGGCGGGAGCAGTCATTCGATGATTTTCCCCCCTTAAAAAAAAAAAAAGCCATTCTATGTAAGTTTATCTCGAGTTCTCTTATCATGAAGACGTCTTCATTGTTAGTTCTTTTGGTTTATGAAGAATACATTTTTAACTAACAGATATTGTGCTATAGATTCTATGTTATTACGAGGATTTTGGAAATCTGATCGAAATGGAACCTTACAAATCTCATTTGCGATTATTCTACCCTCAGCAAACAATTGATTTGCTACTGATTCCAATTATTATAACTACTTCTTTTCCAGCTCATCCTAAACTTGCTGTCTTTATCACTCATGGAGGTCTCCTATCAACCATAGAGTCTGTCCACTTCGGAATTCCAATCATCGGTATTCCTGTCCTGGCTGACCAGCACATGAACATTAAAAAAGCAGTCAGAAATGGATTTGCTCTTAAAGTAGATCTGTCTTATACAATGGCTGATCAACTGAAAAAAGCAATCATTGAAGTTACCAGTAATTCAAAGTAAGTACGAAATAAATAGGAAGAAGTTCTAATGCAGACAGCAGATCTAGTAGCATAGCCATCAGAACTTACTTGCTATAACAATGAATCAAAACTGTGAATATTGTATTAAAAAGAAATGCTCACGCCTTATAGTGTTGACGAACTGCAAGATGAAGCTAAAGATTCCAATAAAAATGACGATATTTTCATTTTAAAAACTTGTAATACATAGTTTATAAATGTATTTGAATGTGGTCCACCATATGTCTGATGCAATTAGTAAATATCACTATAAGGAATAACAAAATTAATGTATTTTAGGTATGCGCAAAAAGCGAAAGAGTTGTCCTTTATCCACCACGACCGTCCAGTGAAGCCAGGAGTTGAACTGGTGCACTGGGTGAACCACGTGATCAATACCCACGGCGCGCCACACTTACGCTCCCCCGCCCTGCACGTACCCTTCTATCAAAAGATGTACCTGGACCTCGCCGCAGTCCTCATCTTTCTGTTCCTGGCTGGACAACTACTCCTGAAGAAAGCTTACGCAGCAGTATTTTCTAAAAGTAAATCCAATAAGAAGAAGACTCATTAGATTTTTCTAATTGTTTTATTTATATAAAAAGTACTGAATAAATTATTTTAAGTTTATAATCTGTTGTTTTCCTTTTAAACTCCTTACTAATGTAAATTTTGTTACGCATAGAGGTTCTTCCTTGTCGATTTTGAAGTAAACGAGAAGACACTCTCAAGAAGTGAGTGGACTAGGTTACTTCTCTAACCTAGGACTGACTTTAAACAGCGTCTCGATGTCGCCATATTTCCAACTTCTTCATCATCACTATCCACTGATAGATATAAGCCTCTTTAATACCACACCACTGAACTTTGATCTTCAGCTCGTCTTATTCAACCTCTGCGATCTACCTTGCAGATATTGGCACACCACATCGATGGAGTGCATTTTGCCTAACGCGCTGTCTCCACTCCAGAATACTTCTACCCCAACGGACATCGGTTCTCGAACACATGTGACTGGCCTATTGCCACTTCAACTTGCTATCTGCCACACAAAACAAAATTTGTCACAATATTTTGACGTAGTGGTAGGGTAACGGCCTACTGCACAATGTGACGAGCGATCGATTCCCTCAGGGAACAATAATGTATGTGATCCACGAATTTTTCTCCGGATCGAAGTGTGATGTATGTATGAATTTGTACGTATATAAACGCAGCAATGACACAGGAGATAATCGTTTATTTAAATAAAAATTAAATAATCTCGTAAACCAACGTATTGACTGTACAGGCAATACTCCACAACTATTGTTACAAGTCTGTAATCTGATTAAACTCTATACGAGTATTGCATAAGGCCTATTATTGTCCATTAATCTTAATCTACTAGATTAGATATTGGACACATGATTATATATTTAGGTATCCTGTTGTTATTGTAATCATGTTTATTATTTATAAGCTTTATTATATCAGGTTTGTCATGTCATGATGATTTTGTTATAATTACTAGCTGTTGCCCGCGACTTCGTCCATGTAGAATATGATTCCTGTTATCTGGCCACCGTAAGCATGAGCAGCAGACGACGAGAATGGCATGGTAGCTTGCTCCCCGACTAGAATCAGACTCGAGCGTACGGCACGTAGCGATCCACGCGCGCTTCAAAGAGCCATCAGACCACCACCGATGAGGACCAATAGAACTGATGCCGAGAACGTAAAAGGCTACACCAGGGCTCCAATTATTCGAGCCGATTCCAATGATTATCACCCCTTTAAAAAATACCATGAAAGCATTTAATCGAAATAAAAAGTATATAATATCTATAACTATTATTTATTTATTTCTATAACTATTATTATTAGATAAAAATAAAGTGGGACGTCGGATGTTTTCATTTTTAAGTTGTCCAGATGTTTTGCTTTTAACAAAAGCTTACCTTAATCCAGTTACGTAACTGTAGGGTGGCAAGTCGACAAAATGCCACAGACCAGTTGGAAGGAGTTCCAGGAATTCCTAGGAATTTACCCCGGGCCCCAAACGGTATAGTTAAGTACGCCACTAGTTTACTCACTTAAGTATGAACTTCTTTGCGAGATTATAACATGGTGTTACATCATATAATGTATTGCACCTATGTATACGTAAAGTGTATATGTACTTCAATGACTTGTTGCTATGTACCATTGATTCTGATCAAAATTCGCACCGATGTTGCGTAAGATTCAACCTAATCTGTCATTTGTTTTATCCACAAGATTAGTAGGCCAGTAATAGGTATGGCAAAAGCACCTAAACGCACGGAAATTTGTGACAATTTTTGAAATTTTAGATGGAGTTTATTAAAATACATAACAAAAACATTACGCCTTTTATTCCCGAAGGGGTAGACAGAGGTGCACATTAGGCCATTGTACAATGTAACACCCACTTTCCACTATTTATGTTATGTGTCCTATGTAATAGAGAGTGAGACTATTGCCATATACCGGGCACAATTCCACACACCGTGCCACAACCCAGTAATCTTTTGCGCGACCCGGGAATCGAACCCGAGACCCGCAGTCGCACTTGCGTTCTCTCGGCCAACTAACATTGACATTTTTGTATATGGTATACATATCGCAAATACATTTTAAAAAATATCAATACATCGAGCTATCCGATACAAAAAGAATTATTTAAATTCATTCAATATTTTTCGAGATTATTCACTCTAACAAAAAGCTCCTGAACTTCGTTAATAATACTAATATCTCTGTTAAATATCAAACTATAAGACTTCTATTTTTTTTCTTTACATTTTTTACTCTCTTTTTATTTTCTACCATATAATATTTATTGTATAGTCTGGATCTTTACCTATGCCTTAGTCCTTTAAGTCACCGCTAACCACCACGTCAAACAAAGAAATTATTCAAATATCTGCGTTGTATGCCAAACAAAAAGAGATAAATGCACTTAACCATAAACATATCAAGAGGTCTTGATATCTATGTAGCATGGTTATAATTTAAGTGCCAGATTTCAATAGTACTCCAGATAAGATTATATTGGCGCTTTACAACATGCAATACCTGATTCAATAATTGTATGAATTGCATACAACCGTTCTATTCTTGTTTCGTTACTTATCAGGTGTTAGCGAGCCATATAATCTAATGTTTGACACCTATTTATAACTCACCAAACATCACCGCTTCACATTCATTGTTGTTGACCACGTCTGCCGTACGTGTCTAACAAAATAAAAATAATACAATTTATAAGTTTTGAGTGACTTATAATTTAAAAAGAAACTTATAAAAGTGTAATTCTAAATTCAAATTATAAGTTTATAAAGTTTGAGTTTTGTGAATTATTTTATATTTTTAAAATTGTGGTGAGTTATTCGTTAATTTATTTATTATTTATTAGGTTTAAGTAATATTTTTTTTAGTATGAATTCATAAATAGTGAATAAAAATAAGAAAAATATATGATCTCTTTGAATAACATTGAATCTGTTACTTCTTGTAATTATATGTGCTAGTTTTTAATTGAGTGAATTAGTGAGACGTAGTATGTTGTTAGATGGATAAAGGTCATAATAATTATTGTATCAACGTAGTACCGACCACAATACATTAGATCTCTTCTAAAATTCTCAATAATCTGCTTTTATGAAATAAATAATACTTTTGCTTAAATATACCTAAATCAGTATTGACTTCTCATATCCAAATCCTAGTTTAAAATAAAAAAAAAATTTTCTTCATCAAAACAATTTGAATATTCGAAAAAATAAATTTTAATTTTAGAACACCAGTAACAAAGTATCACGGGTAAAAGATAACATACCACAATACTAAATGGCCAGTATTATTAAAAACCAGTGTATCTGAATATCGTATCTTTTAAAAATCGATTTAGAACACAGATAACATAACATTAGACGGCTCGCAAACAATTCTCGCACTTTGTACCGGGGACCGACTGTCCGCTATACCTGTCCAATTTAGAGGCCTTGAGTTTAATCATAACACGAGTATTATCTAACGATATACCTAATGATCGGCCGTAAAGAATACAGAATACAGCCTGTTTTTGCATACATTACCCTTTTTAAGAACAAAACATGTTTTATTGGTATCAAAACCAGTCAATTACTCAATTCAAATCAATTTACTTTTTAGACTAAACAAAAAAACAACATTTGCATCCTCGTAAAAATTATGGTATGAAAAGTAAAGACATTATAAAAATTCATACCTTTCTTTTATACAAAAAAAGTCGTAAACAACTACCGATTGAAAATTTTTGAATGTCTAAATATTATTTTTTAATCTACCTACGAAATAATACTCTGAAACAGACTGGCATTTGTTACCAATTGCTATAGATTGGCCTTTAAAACGACAAATACATCCACTTTTTTATTCCACCCGCAAAAGTCTTAAAATATGACTGAATTGTCAAAGAGCATAAAGTAAACATAGTTTTTATATTCATTTAGTTTAAGTACCGCTTGTATACAAATATTACAAGTAAATTGTCACAAGTGTGCCAATGGACGGCAATTACTTAAGTTTTTTTTATTTTTCGTGCAGACTAATGTGTTAGAATTATTGTTTGCCTGTCTTATTTGTTTAGAACATGGTACCTGATTACTTTACAAAATTTTTAATACAAGAGTATCTATATTACATGAAATAATATTTCAATTGTAATAGTATTTACTCTTGCTTCAATGGTCAGCCATTGTCTAGTGATAAGCAAAACAGCCGAACTGATAAAGTACTTCAATCTCTAGATTACTAATTAAATAACAGTAAAATAAATTATGACTAAATGATTTTCAGAAAATGGAAAGAATGAAGATTTACTGGTTGGCGGTGTGCCTCATGCTGGCCTGTGCTGAGGCCTCCAAGATCCTGGTGGTATTCCCCTTACCTTCAAGGAGTCACGGCAACCTTGGTGATGGAATGGTTAAGCATCTGCTGAATGCTGGACACGAGGTTAGAAGTCATTTATAGTAGATGTAGATATTATTTTATTTTATCTATTTCTTCTTTACAAAAGATAATAGTGATAATGGCGGACTTAATGCCTTAAGGCATTTTTTGACAATCAACCATAGGGAAGTGCCGAGAAATAAACCGGTTGATGCGAAGCCAGAATACAATTTAAAATATCACTATTATATCATATTAAAATCCATAATTAATACAACTCTTTTTTACCTCACAAAGAGAAGAAATAAACAAAAAATTGGGAACAAAATCAGCAAAAGTACTATTAAACACTTCCTGTGGTTTCCAATTGTAAAAAATAATTCTATCTCAACAGAAAGTACTTAAACATATATATATTCTTCTTCCAGGTGACGTACATAACACCATTCCCCTACAAGAATGCTCCCCCTACGCTTCGAACAATTGATGTCAGCAAGAACTTTGACATCATGCCTAGTAAGTAAATTATTTTATCCTTCTTCACTTCTGTCTTCTGTAAAATCGTCTGAACAACAGAACGGAACCGAAACTCAAGAGCGTTACCTATTATTATTTGTGATTTGTCAAAACTTACAGATA